GGCCTTCCTGTCCGGTGTGCCCACAGGGCGCTAGCCCCGGATCGCCAGCCCGTGTACGCACTGTCGCTGTTGCTGCAGACCAGGGTCATGGGGACCGCTGTCCCTCCCGCCAGGCCGTGTCATGGGGGCGCCCTCGGCACGGAGCCACTGCCCTCAGGCCTAGCGGCTGCTTCACCCCTCCCGCCTTCCGTCCTTCCGTCCTTCCGTCCAGCCCTCTCTGCCAGAGACGCGGGCTCCTCCCTCCCGCTGGCCGCCTCCGCCTCCAGACCTTGCTCTCGGACCCCCGTCACCGGCTGCGCTCCCATGGTCGGTCAAGCCCGCTCCTGGTGCCCCGGCCTCCGCATGCCTCCCTCCAAGCAGAGGGGGCTGCTGGCCCTCTCCTTGGCCCCTCCATCCCTCACCCTTCCTGCCGCTGCTCTTTCCCAGGCTGGCACTGCCTCCGGCTTGTAAATCCGCGGACCCCTCTCAGTCCGCCTTGTGTCTCATCTTTTTCCCGCCGTGATTGCTGATCGCTCCTGCTTTGAAGTGTTTTCTCCGAGCCCGCCTTCTGTTTTCCCCCCCTTCCCCGATCACTTCTCCGTGCCGGTCTCCAGCTTTCTTCTCCCACTTGCCCAGGTCTGCCCCACACGTGGCCGTTGGCCAGGTGTACCCGACGACCTTTTCTGCCCCCCCGTGCGTGTGCTCCGTGGCTGTGATAATTATTTCTGCGTGGTAGATCCCAAGCCTGTGTGTCCGGCCAGACCCTTTCCCTTGCGCTTTGATCTCCGTATTTTCCTGCGGCTTTGAAGTCTCCACTTGGGTCCCACGGGCACCTCAGAGACGTCCTGCCTAGAATAACCGCCCCTCTCCCCTGACCGTCCTCCGCGTCACCAGTTCCTGTGTCGGAGGCACTGCCCTGCATCTTGTCGGCAGAGTGGGAGGTCTGCTGCCTTGGCCACACCCCAGGCCCGATGCCCATGCCTCCTGGGTGTCTGTGCCCCTTCCTGGTGCCACCGGTTCTTGGCCCGCTTCCGTTGTCGCTCGGGCCGCTGACTGTGGTGGGATTCTGGTAGGTAGGGACTTATGTCCTCCAACTCCTCCGGCCCCTCGTCCCCCACGGGGGCCGGTCACATCCCTTCAGGCCTTCAGAGCCCCCTGTGCCTGTCCCTGTCACTGAGGGATCCCACTGGCGCCCCCAGTCCCTCCTGGTGAAGGCTGCTGGTAGGTACTTAGTCGATTGCCTGTTGGTGAGCCGAGAAGTGGCCTGTGCGGCTGGCTGCTCCTGTGCTGAGCCGCAGTTTTCCAGAACCCTCTCTCGGGGTCATTCTTTTGTGTGTCCCTCATGTGTCGTCATCCCGTCCCCCTCCCTTGGTCTCATCCCTTCCCCTGTTCCCGCTCTCTCTGCCACCAGAGCCTGGCTGCCTCCCTTCCCCGGAAGCCTGCCCGGCCTCTCTGCCCTGTGGTGCCGGCTCATCTGCGCCCCAGAGCAACACAGAGCACCCCGTACCTGTCCTGCGTGGCGCCCAGCATGTTTTGTGCACGGCGCTTGGTGATTCCTGTCATCTTAAGAGGCTCTGCCCCGAGTGGTGACGTCTTCGTCCTCGTTAACCCCCTCATTTCTGTGCGTCTTTGGCTCACAGTAGGTGCTCAGTAAATGACGGCTCCGCACAGGAGTGATTCTGACAAATCGTCTTTGCAGTTTGTAGAGGGAACGAAAACTAAGTCCCTGGCAGTAGCCATAAGGCACTTGCAAAGTCGTCTTTTAAACAGTTGTGGGTTTTAGTAAAACCGAGAGGGAATTTCACAGCTGGCGCATGAAGCCCCTGCAGCAGTTGACCTGCTGAAGCACAGTAACTGGCCCCCCTCCGCCCACGGCTGAGGGCAGAGGCTGCCCTGAAGGGGGGCGGGGGGCGCAGGGGTTGGGGGGCCGGGGGGGGGGGGCGGGGCGCAGCCGCACGGTGTCCGGAGCGCTTCCCTGCACTCGACGTGTCATCTTCCCATAAATGTGGAGTTTATGGGGATCAGGTCTGTGATTCATACGTGCGTGTTCAGGTATAATTGAAAAGTGGGTTATCCGAGTCAATTTATATCGATTAGTCTTGAAAGTTCCACCAAGTGGGCCGCCCGTGGAAACCTTTCTCCTGGGTAGACAGAAAAGCTGCTTCAGAGCCCTGGCTGCGGTTCTGTCCAGCCTCTCCAGGTTCCCGGGTGCGGGTAGGCTGTGTCTTACTGAACCTGTGCCCCTGGACGCCTGTCCTTCCTGCAGCCAACCCTCCGTTTGTGCCTGTGTCCCACCCCCTCCTCCCAGAGCTGTGACCCTAAGGGACCTTTCTGTCCTGAGGCCTGCAGGTCTCTGCTGTCCTGGAGGGGAGCCCATCGGTAATCTGAGAGGCAAGGGGGCCGGCACTGAGGGGACGGTGGCATGGCGGTGGCTGTGGCGTGGCCTCAAGCTGTCGTTTTCTGGCTAGGAGGCTGGGTCACCACCTTTAGGGGGCCAGGAAGGAAGAGTGTGGCCCCAGCAACTGCGGCACGATGTCGTTCGAGATTGTGCCCGGGATCGGTGTCCTGGCCGTGTGCTGCTCATCCCCAGCACAGCCACTGTGCACATCCCCGGGCTCGGTCCTGGGGGCGAGGAAGAAAGGCTTGTCTCCTGTCCGTGTTAGTGGAGTTCGATAGGCAGGTCTCTGGAGTTCATCGTTACTTTGTGTCAAAGGATGTGGAGGATATTGATTAAGGGAGCCTTTTCCCGGTTGATGAAAATAACTCGGTTATGCTCGTCTACCCCTTCTAGAGGGTTATGCAGCACGTCGCTGCAGTACATAATAAAAACAACAAAAAAGTAAACACAAAAAAGGAGGGGGGGCGGGTCAGCCAGAGTTGCTAGGGCTTTGGCAGGAGGAGAACTGGGTGACCCTGAAACTTTTCGTGAGGGCTGACCTTGAGATGAGGCCGGGAGGGGCAGGTTGGGAGGTGGAGTTCCCCTGCAGGCGGATTAGGCCCCGTGCCCACCAGCCCGTCGTGCCCGCCAGCCCATCGTGCCCGCCAGCCCGTTGCGCGGACCTTAAGGGGCAGAGGGACGGAGACCCAGGGAAGTGGCTGGGGTCAGGACGTGTGTTCACGGTGACAACATGCCCGTGCTTCAAGCCACGAGACTGACTGAAGTCACCTGCGCCCTTCCAGTCCTGGAGAGGTGAGGGAACGATGGAAGCCTCTCCATAGCAGAGGCGATGGAGCTGGGACAGGCGTGGGGAGAGAAGGATGACAGGGTGGGCCCGGGTCCCTGCGTCCCAGTCCCCGCTGCCCGAAGTCAGTCTGGCCTCTTGCACCTGAAAGCGGACTAGGCTGGCGGACCCCCTGGCCCCGCGACCTCCTCGACTCCCATCCTGGACTCCCGTCCGTCAGAACCAGGTCCTGCATCGTCCGTGTGGGTGTCCTCCCGGGCTGCCGTCTGCTCTCTGGGACGGCGCACTCCCGTGCGCGTGGGGCCGGCTACTGTCCCTCCCTCGGCCCCCCACTCACAAGTCACCCCACCTACAAAGGCAGCAGAAATCTTCCCACGGCATTTTGCCCTGGGGCTCCCTTCCTCTGTGGTCGGGATGATCTCTTCTGTCTCAGAACTCTGGGTGATTTTAAAATAGGATGGGCTCTGACAGGGTCCTTTTGACCCTGAGCCAAGGGTGTGTCCCTCCCGCCTCGGAAGGGCTGGCTCCGTGTGCCCGCAGGGCTGCCACGGTGTCAGTCACAGTCACGGGCGATGTGAACCGAGGCCTTGCAAACAGAAGGGCAGTGTGAATGTTAGCCACTGTTAGGAGAGCCAGTGGGGAACCGAGGAGCCCCACACCCACAAGGAAGTGATTCAGGGCCCCGAGAAAAGAGTCTGTGATGAGGACAGTGAGGATGGGGGTGGGGGTGGGGTGGGGAGGCAGAGGCCACTGTTGGAGGCCACTCGCCAGGTCGCCGCAGAGAGCCCGGACTGTGCGGGGAGAGGACACGCTGGCGCCCCGGGTCTCGGCACTAGGTGCCATGGGTGCCCTTCCCTGGTGTCCTTGGAGAGACCAGGCCCGTCTGAACTCTTTCACAGGCAGGGTTGTTCCAGAGCATCCAGAGGGCGGTCTCAGGTCTGGGGGCCTCACTGAAGGAGATCAGCCTTAGCCTGCGCAGTTTCATGTTTTCCGGTCTGCCATCCCTTTGGGGGCACAGCGATGGACATCTTGCAGGGCAAGTGTGAGGGACACTTGGGGAGACCATGCTCCAGCCGTTTAGCAACTGAGCGTCCCCAGCGGTGCACGTGTGGCTGGTGTGTTTGTGTGGGAGGTGGCGTAGACCTGTGAGTCAGGCCGGATTCACAGTCGGCTTCTGCCGCTCGGGGCCTTGGGCACATGGCACGCTCTCCCCGTGCCTCCGTTTTCCCGTTAGTAACGCAGGGACGAGAGTCTCAGCTTGACAGTTGCCGCGTGCTTAAGTCACATGGCTTGTGTGGCGTCGAGTGCTGCCTGGCCCGGGGTCAGGTGAGGGCCTGTCCCTGCGGTCGTGCCTTTGTCACGGTGCCTGCGGGCCTGGCTGTGGTGTCGGGCCTCGCTGTCGTGTCCAGTGTGACCTCAGGAAAGGGCGCGCTTGACCTCCTCCCCGGGACCCGTGCTACGTGTGCCCCGCGCCGTCTGCAGGGTGACGTGGGCCTGCGTGTTGCCTGTGCCACGCGTGGCCCCCATGGCGTGACCGGGTGCCGTGCAGTCCAGCCGGCTCGCATCTCGGTTTCCCCTGGGCTTCGCTCCCTGCTTAGGGCTCCCACACGTGCTTCTCGCTGCCGTCTGGCAGGAGAGTCACCCCTGGAGGTCGGGGTGGCCACGTCACTAAGGCGAGCGCGTCGCCCACACGCCCAGGCGGTGTCGGCAGCCGGGTCGCCTTTGCCCGAGGAGACGATGGGGTCTTTTTATGTGGTTAGGTGCCCGTCGTGATTGACGGCAGCTCTGTCCCCTGTTGGCATCACGCTCACGTGCCGGTCTCTTCTTGGCTCAGATAACATCCCCGAGGACCTCAGGGACCCCTTTTACATTGACCAGTATGAGCAGGAGCACATCAAGCCGCCCGTCATCAAGCTCCTGCTGTCCAGCGAGCTCTACTGCCGTGTGTGCAGCCTCATCCTGAAGGGGGACCAGGTGGCGGCCTTACAGGGACACCAGTCTGTCATCCAGGCCCTGTCCCGGAAAGGGATCTACGTGATGGAGAGTGACGACACCCCCGTGACGGATCCCGACCTCAGCCACGCACCCATAAAGATGGTGAGTGTCCTGTGGTGGGGGGGCGGGGGGGAGGCAGGGTCTGTCACCGACCGCGACTGCTTCTACCGCGGGCACTCGTGCGGCGCCCCGGCCTGTCGTCCCGCCAGCCGGCCCTCCGCGATGCAGATGGTGGGAGCGTCCGGTCGGGTGGCGGGGCTCGCGGCTGTGCGGCGGTCTCCTGAGCTGTGTGTCTTGAAGTGCCTGTGACTTGTGGAGGATGGGGAAAGAGCAGCTCCCCGTCAGCTCTCTTCCTCCTTACGAGCCCTCTGTGCGCCGGAGGGTAAGTCGAGGCACGTTAACGAAAACGTCCGGAGGCAGATATTTCACGGACGTTGTGACGTGCAGCTGTCGGGCCTATTCTGTTAGGTGGTTCACGCGCATTGTATTTTTGTGTCCAAATAAAGAAGAAAAGACTCTGTTTTCCCCTCTCCCCCCTTTACTCTGGAAGCCGCACCGTCGATGTGACTTTTCCAGACTGCCCTAGGTCGGCCAGTTTGGGTGCCTCCCCCGTTACTGGGTTTTGGCTCTTCTCTGGCGACTTGGGCTCTGTGGCTTTTCACGCGTGGGTTTCGCGGAGGACGCGCTGTGGGTCAACGGGATGTTCCTCGGGTTCTGGGAGGAGACGGTGCAAAGGCGTGGCGGACTTTCGGCAGCAGGGCTCCTGCTGGAACCCCGGGCCCTGTTTGCGGTCATGCAGCTTTGGGCGCATCTCTCTGTGCTCGTACCTTTCCCCTCCGCCAGCCCCTGGGGCTCGCCAGGTTGCCGCGGAGGTGAGGTGGGCTTGGGCCACCCTAACTGTTACCTCTGCTCCCAGAGTGCCCACATGGCGATGGTGGACGCCCTCATGATGGCCTACACCGTGGAGATGATCAGCATCGAGAAGGTGGTGGCCAGCGTCAAGCGCTTCTCAACGTTCAGCGCCTCGAAAGAGCTTCCGTACGACCTCGAGGACGCCATGGTGTTCTGGGTCAACAAGGTCAGTGCTGGGAGCCGTGGCCGGTGCGAGGACTGGGGCCGCGGGTCATCTCGAGCGGCCCGAGCGGGCCGGGGCGCTCCCTGGTGGCAGGTCCTCCCCCGAGAGCTGCGCCCGCCTCGTGTGTCGCCCGAGAACCGGGCGCCGGCAGGGGCCCCAGGAGCGGCAGATGGATGTGCTGTGTCCAGAAGCACGTCTGCTCCTGTCCAGACAGAACAAACAGGTGTCCTCGTGAGCACGCGGAGCGTGGCTGCGGTTTGAATTACTGCGTTCTTGTTATTTTCATCTCGGGGTCTCTGTGCACCGAAGGGGTGCTCGAGTTCAGAGGCGTTTTGATTATGAAGAGAAAAGCGGTGTCTTCCTAAGTGTTTTCTCTTTTTACGTTTAGGAGCTTACAGCGTGATCTTTCACACAAGCATAGAGAGGGTATTTTCAGTGGCACGGGATTATTCATAGGGTTACCTTTCCACAGCAGTTTGGTCGTGAAGCGTCTCTGTGTGTAAAAAGGTGTTCAACTGGGGACACTTAGCTAACGGAGTGAGGACGTGGAAGGCAGGGCAGCCCCTCGTAGAGTTGTCTTGGGGCAGGTGAGACAACCGTCTGGGGGGCTCGGTCGGCGAGGCGTCCCACTCCCGATTGAAGTTCAGGTCATGATCTCACGGTTCGTGGGATCGAGCCCCGCGTCGGGCTCTGCGCTGACAGCGTGACCCCACTTGGGACTCTCTCCCTCTCTCTCTGCCCCTCCCACCCCACCGAATGAATAAACAAACTTAAGTAGTTGTGTTAGTCTGCCCACAAGATTTAAATTATTTCCTTATATGGTTTGTGTATGTGTTCTTTATAACGTAAGGCTTTACGAGAGACCAAGTAAAAATCAGCGGCCGTGGAATTAGTTGAAGAACGTGGCAAAGCCAGGCCCTGGCGCGTGTGCCGCCTCCCCTGAGAGGGCCCCCTCCGTGGTTGTGACGAGCAAGGCCTTACGTCAAGCGCGTGTTGTGACTTCCAGCTAAGACGCTTGCCCTGCTGTTTACTTGGTTTCCTACCCGGAGGTGGGGTGGGGGAATCCAGTCCGTGGGCAGACCCCCTTAAATCCCCGATTGTGGGTGGGGTAGAGGGCTTTTCCAGGGTTCGCTGCAACATCTGGACTCAGACGCTGGCCAGTGCCCATAAGTTTGCCTCCTGGTGGTGGGCACCGTGTCTCACCTGCCCCCTGGCCGTGCAGAATACCGTGCCTGTGGGAAGCAGGAACCACGGGAACCACGGGAACCACGGGAACGTGGTTAAGGAAGGATGTTCGGGACCGGTGCACATCTCCAGAGGAAACTGAGCCCTGGCCGATAGCTCTGTAATCCCGACACGGCCTTCCTGTAGCCACGAGTTCACGTGTGTGTTTTCAGCCACTGACCTGCGGTGCTCCGTTCGTTTCCGGTGCCCAGCGTGGTGATTCAACAAGTGTAGCTGCCAGCTGTCGCCACACAGCCTCGTCAGGGGACTTGACTGTATGCCCTGTGCTACACCTTTCCTCCCTGCAAAATCCAGGTTCTAACTTGTTTCTCTCTGATAACTTTTATTGGCTTCTCCTTTTTTATTTTCATTTTTGAGAGAGAGCGAGCACGTGAGTGGCGAGGGGCAGAGAGAGAGAGAGAGAGAGAGAATCCAAAGCAGGCTTGAGGCTCGGAACTGTCAGCACAGAGCCCGATGCGGGGTCCCGACTCACGAACCGTGAGATTCTGACCTGGGCCAAAGTCGGCCGCTTAACCCACTGAGCCACCCAGGCGCCCCGGTTTTTCTTTCTTATAAATGAAATGACGTGGTCATTATAGAAAAGCTGGAAAATACAATAAGCAAATAAAACGAAATATAAACTCCCCATAACCTTGCCACCTACACACGCGTTTTAACATAAATTCTCATAATTTTTAGGGCACCTGGGTGGCTCCATTGGTTGCGCGTCCGACTTCGGCTCAGGTTGTGATCTCACCGTTCGTGAGTTTGAGCCCCACATGGGGCTGTCTGCCGTCATCTCAGAGCCTGCTTTGGATCCTCTGTACCCCCCTCTCTCTGCCCCTCCCCCGCCTGTGCTCTTTCTCTCTCAGAAATAAATAAACTTAAAAAAAGAATAAATCCTCATAGTTTTTTTAGGTGTAAGACCCAGGCTTCAAAGCACAGCTAGGCGCTCCCAGGTGCGGGGCCGGAAGCTGAGGCCTTTGGCAGGATGGGGACGGGTCCCTCCAGGGCCGGCTTCAGCGCCCGCCTGCTGTTGTCTCAGGGGCCGGGCTCTGTAGGCGACCACGGGCATTTCCCTCTCACGTGTAATGGGCGGGCAGTGGTGGCCACATGGCTGAGGTTCATTTGTAAAGGCTTTTGATTGGTTTTTGCCAAATTTCTGACCATAAAGACTATAGTATCTTTTTCGTACTCTTAGTCCGTCGAGGTGTCTTTTTCCATGATTTCCCATAGATTGGATATTAGTAAAAGAATATTTGCTATTTTTAATTTTAATTTTAATTTTTTAATAAAAAATAATGAGTTTAATAAAAAAAAATAAATGTTTTTGACATTTATTTATTATTGAGAGAGAGAGAAACAGCATGAGCAGGAGAGGGGCAGAGAGAGGGAGGGACACAGAGTCGGACGCAGGCTCCAGGCTCTGAGCTTTCCGCACAGAGCCCGACGTGGGGCTCGAACTCACAAACCGCGAGATCGTGACCTGAGCTGAAGTCGGACACAACCGACTGAGCCACCTGGGCGCCCCTCCCATTTTTTAAAGGTGGGGAATAGTGTCATCTTCTACTCTCATTTCTTCATTTACTGGTAAAGTTGAAGTTTAAGAGAGAGTGTACGTTTGGCTGTTTGTCTTTCTCTTTGATAAATTACTTGTCTGTGATCTTTGGCCATATTTCTTTGGGGGAGGGGTGCATTCCTTTTCTCCCGTGCCTGATCAAGTTTCTCCTAATCCCATTAAGGGCGTTGCCTGTTTGCCGTACTTGTGTAGACGATTTTCCAGGTTACTGCCGCCCGTTTGCCTGTGGACTTGGCTGATGTGTGGAAGATGATCTTCATGTGGTACAGCCTTTATCTGCTGACGTGCATTTTCCGGTGTTAACCTCTGTCTTTCAAAGAGGTGCACTGTATTTCTGACTCTGCATCGGCCTCTGGCGGGCGTTGCCTTCTGATTTACTGCTAGCTCACGTGACCCTCCCGTCCGGTCCCTGCTGGTCCACTGTGGTCACACGCCCTACTGTGGTTGGATCTGTAGTCAGATGACCAGGTATGACTTTTCAACAGCTCACGTCCCTTTTCTTGTGCCACACTTCGGTTTTCCTGGAGTTGGTACTTGCTTTGCTTTTTGTGGCCTTTCTGGTCCTTGCCTAATATTTATCGTTTTATTCAGTGTTTTCCAAATTTTGTATTTCCTTAGCATTTCCAAATGAACTGAGTTTCTTACGTTGATAGATTTTCCCTTGTGTGTGTTCTCATTCTCTGATGTCGACTGAGCGGTGAGCTCTGGCCAAGGGCTCCCCCACACTTGCTGCCTCCGTGTGGTTTCTTTCTGGCACGGGTTCACGGTGTCAGATGAGGGGTGCGCTCGCTGAGGAGGTTTCCGGCACTTGCTCGAGGGGCTCCTCTCGGATGTGAGCTCTGATGCGGAGTGAGATGTGCCTCTATGCTTTGTGTACTGAGGGTCTTTCCCTGGACTCAGAGGAGGTGTCAGCTCCCCCAAGCTTTTCCTTCAGGGAGAGTGGCCGTGGCCTCTGCAGTGTGGGTCCTCTGGTGCCTGACAGTTTAGAGCCGGGTCCAGAAGCCTTCCCACCTTCATTTGGCGGCTGGGTTCTCTCCCCACCGAAAGCAGCCTCCATGTTTGATAAGGTTCGGGCTCCTGAGGGTTCACGTGCGGTGAGTTTTCCCTTCAGCGTCGGTCTTTGATGCCTCATAAGATCTGGATCTCCTTTGAAACTGTGGTTGTGGATAATGTTCCCAAGATTTCTGCTGTGTGAATAGTGCACATTTAAGCTCTCTCACCTCCGTGCTGGCCATTTTCACTCGTGAAGGTATTTTTGTGGGTTCGCTTCCTTTTCGTGTTTGGCTCTGTGTCTGGGTGCTCTCCGCAGCTCCGAAGCTCCTCTTCCGCAGCTCTGGAGTCACAGTCAGGCCTGTCAGGTTACTGCTGTGAGTTTCTTTCTCTTTTTATGTGCATCACTTCCAGGGACCACTCTCCCTCTCCCCCTCCCCCTCCCCCTCCCCCTCCCCCCTCCCCCTAGATGATCAGGCCCTCTGGGGGGTAGAAATTGCCCTCCCCAGGATTGGGGCTACCACCAAGCCGTCCCCCAGATTCCCTGCTCTTTGTGTGAGGGACTGAGCTGTCCTCTGTCCCCAGAGTTGTGGCCTTTTACCGTGACCGTCTTGCTGTGGCTTTTGACGTTTTTACCGCTGCCCAGCCCGTTGCTGTAGTCTTTGAAAGACAAAACCCGGCTTCACTGCTGTATGATTCGCACGCAGCGAACGGGCCCAGTTCTTTGAGTTTGACCAGTGACTGCTGTTTAACATTCGCCACAAGGCACCATTTCCATCGCCCTAAATGAGTTCTTCTGTTTCCCTTTGCGGTTTGCCCTCCAGCCCAGATCGCCCCTGATGTGCTTTCTACAGTTAGAAGTTAGTTTTACCTCTTCTGGGTTTTGATAAAACTGGGTCATGCGTATGTACCCTTCACGGAACAAAGTGATTCTGAAGTTGATCCGTGTTAGTGCACCTGGCAGTGGTTTTCTTTTTACGCTCTGGAGAGTTCCATCGCGCGAACAGACCACGGTTTACCCGTTCCCCTGCCGGTGGACACTGCGGTCATTTCCAGTTCTGGTCTGTGCTGACGAAGGCTGCCGGGAACCTGTGTGCACAAGTCTTACCCGAGACACGTATTCCTTTCTTTGGGTCACATACTTAGGCATAGAATTGCTGGGTCGGTGATAAGGTCGCATTCAACGTTAGGAGGAACTGCCCAGGTATTT